AAAATATCAAAGACGAGAAGTAAGTAAGTATAGAAAATATAGTACTAAGAACTAAGCAAAGTTATATACAATTGTTTTCGTTTTAATTCGGATATTTCCTCTAAAATTATAGACGAACTTCATAAAGTATGATTATTACTATTGTGCTTGAATTGTAAAAAAAAAATTAGAAAGGGATGCAAAAGTGTAAGAAAATTGTGCGTATCTGAAGATTTAAATGTCTTATTGTCTATTGATTAGGATATAATGAGAAAGGGTTCGGTTAAATATTTTAAAAAAATAAGAGCTATTCCGTTCCTCTTCCATCTCCTTCAATTCATGCAGTTATTACTTATTAGTTATTACTTATTTCATTTGAGCATCTTAAAGTTAAGGTTTCCGCTGGTTTTATAGCATATTATAATTTATAAGCACTGACCTACCGCTATCTAGTGGCTTCAAACTTGATTACTTTACTTCGAACACCCAACCAAATATATTATACAAAGCGTGATATGTTTGAAATACGTAATAACATTGTATTAAAATTACAGTTTTAAAGTTTTATTTTTAAATGTATACTTAAGTGTACCGTATTAACTATTAATAATTAATAATGAAAATAAGTAACATATTAGTTATGTAATTATTATAATATTAATATAATGATGTGTATTATATAGCATTGCAATTAGTGTTATGAAGAACAGGTTAATATTATTATCCAATTTTAATATATTATGAAACGGTTATAATATATTTTTTTTAACACATATGTATGTATTTGAATGTATTATGGCGTTAAAAATACGGGATAGGATAAGTTAATGATTTTTGAAAAATCTTCGATAATTTATTAATGAGTTACTTACATATTATTTTTATGAAAATAAGAATTTTTTAATGTAAATTTGTGGTTGTTAAGAGTTTATAAGTAGCCACAAACTATAGTGTTTCTTTTACTCGTATAAGAATTCAACCTCAGCCCTATAAAAAATCTTAACATATTTTTGTTTTAACAGCAAAATTAAAAAAGTGTATAATGTACGCATTCCGCGTATACTATAAAAACTATTTTGTATAATTTAATCTATATTATTTTGTTATTTATTATAATGATTCTTCATATTTGTTTGTAAAGTGGCTGTTGCAAAAGAATATAATTTAAAAGGATCCTACACGAAATAATTTCACCTTTTATTCTTTAAACAATTTTTAACAATACTATATAAATGTAACTTTTTAATTTTGAGGTTTAGGTATATTTAAAAAAAAAACTATTTCCTCGCTACTTACATATAATACACAGTATATTTTTTATTTATTTATATTTTTTTTAAAAAATATTTTATACAATTTGGTAGGTACTTGTTGAATAAGCATAACATTTTTTAATTGTTTTTTTCAATATCAAGGAATATTAATATATATTAATAAAATATGGATAGGAGGTACCAATGTTTAAAACATTTTAAGTTATTAAGGTCTGCCAATTTTAAATAACAATTATTATTTAAGCTGAGGATACTATTGTATAATATTTTCAGTAGGTATTTTAACATAGAATGTTACAATTTATAATAACCTATACAAAATTATTTAAATTAATTTGATTGTAAATATTATTTTAAATATTCAATAAATTCATTTACCTTTAAAATAAAATGGTTTAGATATTACTTAATATAAATTCAATTATTTTAATATATTATTCAACTATAGGAATTTTAGTTTCTGAGTGAAACGATGAATGTATTGATTTTACAATGATGTGTGTTTTTTTTTTGAAATTTTTTTTGTGTCTGTGTACACGATATGTAGTCGAAATAATGCTTCGATTTTCAACTTCATTATCTTGTTCAATGGGAAAGTGAATATTGTTGGTGCATTTGGGAGGTCATATTTTAAAATTCCCAATAGTTTTCAAAAGCGTCGGGAAAAACAACATAAGAATTAAGGAAATAAGGGAATTTTTACGAGAAATATGTGTAACTCTAAAACAAATGAACGTATATACATGACATTTTCACTGGTTGTTTATATTTGCATTTTCTATGCACGATAAAATTTTCAAAATATTTTGATTTGTTTTAAATTGTCTAAGAACATTTTGAGTTTTCAATTTTATTAATCTTTTTTTCAATGGATGTCAATAAAACTTTATTTGTTGGGTAAAAAAAAGCTTGAAAATTTATTAAAAGACTCCTAGAATATTGTTTCAAAGGCAGATGAAAAAAATTAAAAATGCAAAGTCACAATTTTTTTTTATAAGCATTTAAAGTTCAAATATTGAAAAAAATACGTAAAAATGACGAAAATTAACAAATTATTTTGAGCTAAGAATTCGTGAAAATTTTTCTTTTTAAATCTAAGATTTTAAAATGTAATACAAGATTCCTTATAGGATTATCTAGCTTTATCAAAAAAAAAAAATGTCTACGAGCAAATCAAATTAAATTCTTAGGAGCGTTTGAAGTTCATAATTTTTACATTATTGGATATTCACTCGATTTCTCATGTAGCGGTTTTATTATTTTATTGATATTCAAAAACGAATAACTGTAGGTACATGAAAATTTTACTGAATGTTTATATTTTCATTTTCTATACACCATAATAATTTGAAAATATTTTGACTCTTTTTGTGCTGTTTACGGACATTGTTAGTTTTCAATTTTCTTAATTTTTTCTTCTATAAATATCAATAAAATTTTATTTGTTGGGGAAAAAAGCATGACAATTAAATGCAAGGCTTCTGATATATTGTAAAAATAGCAGTTGAAAAATATTGAAAATACATTGGCACAAATTTTTTTTATAAGCATTTAAAGTTCCAATTTTAACAAAATTTATGATTTTTAAATTTAATAATTATTTTGTAGTTAAAAATGTATAAAATGTTCAACTTTTATAGCTAAGGATTGAAAATTTAAAACAAGGGTCCACGTAAATATATAAATTACTTTATTCACAATAATATCATCAAATATACTTCGTAATATCATAGGTTGACTGACTGTTTTCGTTCAGAATCGTTTTTCGTATACAATGATATTATATCATTGAATTCAAATTTAATACCATCCATTATACAGTGACCCATTTGTAACCTACTGTACAGCAGAGCGACATTCACTTGCCCACCTTTTTTTTATAGATACATTACAATTTAAAATAAAGTTATAAATTTCTAAACATGATTAGGATTTTTTTGATTTTATAATAATTTATTTACGTGGTGCACAAGATTTGAAGACACAAAAAGTTAATTTAAAATGTAGTTATTATTATTCATGAAATAAAACGTTTTAATTTGTGTAGGTTTGTTTTCGTATGCCATATATAATAAATTATATGGTATATATAATATCTATATTATATTAAATTATTTGCATATTTATAGTTTTAAATGTATATTATAGCATCGTAGGCTGAAAATAAATAAATAATCGGTTTATTTAAAATCAATAAAATTGTCAATGTTGACATTAAATTATTAAAATGTAGAACAATAAATATATCTTTACGTATGAATGTTACTAAATTAATTTTAATACACATAATTCAATACATCTTATATGACGTATAATAACAAAAAACAATTTATTAGCTCAAATAATGAGACACACGACAACAAGTTAAAAACTGGTTATTTACTAGTTATTAACTCTGTTATTTTATGAAGACGATAGTAATCTTAATAAATTATTTTTGTTTTGTATAAGTAATGTAGTGATAGTATAATAACTAATAAAATATATTTATTTATGATAGATATCGAGTGGGCTCTGTTTGTTTCGATAAGTAAAATGGCTCAAAAAGTTTCATCTCTGTTTACGCAAGTCGTCGCAAAATCGTGCCGCTATCAGTGTTGGCGACTCTACCTGTAGGCCGCCGACTAATCTTGCGTATTCCCCTTCCCACCCGACGTGGTATCGACCTGGCTGGCTATTTTGCATGTTGTGCCGGCGCGCCGGTGTGTCTACAACCAGTTGCCCCGTCTCTCTTGTCATCGGACGTCGCTGCCTTTGACGTCCGTGGGGACCTTGTGGGTATTGACCGGTGTTCCGACGTCCGACCGTTATATTGTGCTGGTCTACCTTTAAATTACGCGTCGTATTATACTCGTCTCGTGTGTTATAATCGTCAGTCGCCATCAAACGGTGCACATCGAGTACTGTTGTGTCACGTGCGTCGTACGTACGTACTCACATTGTTGTGGCGTACACGTTACATAAGATCGCGAAACTCAGCCGCCGCCGATCTAATTGAGTGCTAGGTGCAGTGCGCTATACAGTGAGCCGTCGCCGCCGCCACCGCACGCCGCCCATCCCATCTTCAATCGAAGGTCGTGGCAACACAGCCGCCGTCGGTCTATCTTTATACCGGTATATGGGTCAACGCCGTCGCCCGTCGTCCACCACCTACTCCGACCATCTCTACCGCTCGACAACACCAGCGCCGCCTCCACCGTAGTATAGATAAGTCATATCATTGTTGTTATATATTATTATATTATTTTACTGTTTGTATTTGGTAGCTGGACTTAGAGACGTCTAGTCAGCTACGTTTGTAATGTCAGCCGTTCTTAGGCCTGTCACATAATATAAACATTACATTTAAATTTGGTGTACCCCTTTATTACGTTGGTATAATAATATCAATTGTCATACGCTACATTAAGAGTCCTGACAATGCGAGTACGTCGTGTCAACTGCGATACGAAAGAACACGACGTGCGTTAACATTGGTAGCAGAGCGTGGTTCATTTGATTACTTTCTTGAGCGTTGTTAGGTACTATGAGTGACTGGTAGTTGGGTTATAGCTGTTCCCGTAATTTATGTCTTAATTAATGTTATACTGTGTTTTCCACTAGCGACCTGTCGTATATACCTATTTAGCCAGTTATCTTGCTTGATAATTAATTGTGTCAATCTGGTTTGTATATAACGCTATACATTTTGTCTTTGGTCTGACACGCTGTGGGTTTTTGGTTGTTGACGTTACTGACTAACGTACAATGACGGGTGGTGGATCGGATGATGATACTGCTAGGCAGCTTAGGGCGTTACAAAGAACGAAAACGATTGCCATCATATCCCGTGACGCTACTGTTAACCGTATCCAGGCCATACACGAGCTATCCAAACAAGTTACCACTAATCCAGATTTACGTAATGAATTTTTAACTGCTGTGGGGGATCTAGATTCGTTGTGGGAAAGGTTTGTGGCCGATAATCAAGCGGTTCTTTATGCTCTGTTGGACCTGGGTTTGTCTGTTGAATTCTCGCTGACAAAGGAAACTGAAGTTCGCTCCCTATACATACAAGCAATCGCTGTGGCAGAAACACTAAGACCAACGCAGATAGGTGATGATAACGTTAGTCAGGTAGAATCTACACGTTCTAATCGGTCCGATGGTAACAATTGTTCAGGTAGACCGCGTTTGCCAGAAATACCATTGCCCACGTTTAGCGGTGACCTTTTAGATTGGCCTGTTTTTCGAGATCGGTTCAATGCGCGCGTAGTCGAACGCACTGACCTGTCTAACATTGACCGATTTTATTATCTGCTAGGTTGCCTCAAGGATGAGGCTCTTCATAGCATTCGCAATATTGTTGTATCTGATGCTACATATGATCTAGCGTGGACCACACTTGTAGAACGTTTTGATAAACCTCGTCAGCTGGCCTCCTTAATCGTCGATAAATTAATATCGATACCAGCTCAGTCTCAGGAATCGTTAGTCGGGTTAAAGGATTTCTTAACAGTGTTCTCTGACCAGGTTTCGACACTTGAATCTTTGAACATCCCTGATCTAGGTGAGTTTTTGTTGTTCTCGCTTTCCGCACGATGTCTGCCTCTGTCTACCCGTAAAGGATTCGAGGCTGTCAATAGGAACGAATTCCCTACGGCAGCTGATGTTGTAACTTATGTCAAAAATCGTGTGTCTATTTTGGAAGCTGTCAACTTCACCAGCACTTCACATCGTCCACCAGCACCACAGGAACGACCTAAACCCTCTCTACGTCGTCACGATGAAAAACGGTCCAAGGTAACCCTGCACACTTCAAGGCTGTCGAATGATCCGGCATTAAAATGCTTGTTTTGTTCTAAAGACCATTCGTCAGTCCAATGTCCAAATTTTGAAGGTTTGTCAATGGACGCCCGTTACCAGACCGCCCGTGACAAAAAGGTGTGTTTTCGTTGCTTAAATTCAACACACTGGTCAAACCGTTGCAAGATTAACAAGCCGTGTGACAAGTGCTCTGGTCGTCACCATTCTCTCCTGCACAGGGATTATCAAGAAACTGAGAAACGAACGCCGCCACAAGTATCAATGGTCAGCGCGCGGGATACGTCTACAGTACTATTGGGAACTGCTTTGTTGCATGTCCGAGATCATGCCGGTTGTATGCAGCAGGTGCGTGCTCTCATTGATTCCGGATCACAAATAAGCGTCATGTCAACGTCATGTGTTGAACGGCTGGGCTTAAGGCGAGTGAAATGGACCGCGCCTCTCACAGGTGTATCCGGTGTTGCAGTTTCCAATGTCGACGGTTTGGTCAAGTGCATAATTGCCCCTCGATATGACGACCACCGTATCCACGTCAGTGCTTGGATCCTTCCGAAAATCACCGGTAATATGCCTATCTGTCCTCTCGCACCTCAAGTCAAACAGCACTTTAGTCACTTAGCGCTTGCAGACCCAGGATTCGACCGTTCCGACCCCATAGATTTACTTTTGGGTGCTGATGTGTACTCCCAGGTCATGGACGGTAAACGAATTGTCATCAATGATTCGTTGCCTGCTGCTTTCGGGTCCTTGTTTGGCTGGATCATTATCGGCCCTGTTCAGGGCTCTGTGTCTCAATCGTTCCAATCTAATGTTGTGTCACTTACCATCTCTTTAGAGACCATCATCCAACGGTTTTGGCAAGTGGAAGAGCCGGACGAAGTTCCAGACACATTCACCAAGGACGGTCAATGTGAAAGTATTTACATTTCGGAACGGACACGTGATTCTATGGGACGATTTGTAGTTCCACTACCATTTTTAAATGAACACCGGTCCGAGACGTTTCCCGGTTCCAGACAAATAGCTGTGCGCCGCTTTCAGAATCTGGAAAAGAAGCTCCAAGACAATGACACCTTAGGCCAAGCATACAGACAGTTTATGCATGAGTATGAATCGTTGGGACATATGTCCATTGCCCCTTGTCCAGGTTCATACTTCATACCCCATCATCCGGTGTTTAAGGGCTCGCTAACTTCGAGCAAGATACGAGTTGTTTTCGATGCATCTGCCACGGCATCAAACAAACTTTCGCTAAACCAATGTCTGCATACCGGCCCTAAGTTGCAACAAGATATCATCGATATTCTTCTACGGTTCCGGGTACACAAGTACACTTTCACTGCTGATGTATGTAAAATGTACCGCCAGATTCTGGTACATCAACAATACCGGTCATTTCAACACATACTTTGGCGGGCGTCAACAACGGACGAACTGAAGGAGTATCAGCTTAACACGGTCACCTATGGCGTGAATTGTGCCCCCTACTTGGCCTTAAGAGTGCTTCAAGACATAGCTGAACAAGAGGGCAGTGACTTTCCGACAGTCAAAGATGCGTTGTTGCATCAGACATATGTCGATGACGTGTGTGTCGGAGCTGATACTTCCAATGAACTCGTAAAGTTGCAGTCAGACTTGCAATTAGTCCTGGGCCGCGCCGGTCTGGACCTCAAAAAATGGTCAAGTAATTTGCCATCTATATTGTCAGCCGTGCCGTTGGAGGACCGTGCTTCTGACGTCATTCATTTCGACGATAAGGAGGGTGGTGTGACAAAGGTTTTGGGTCTTCAATGGAATCCCTCGATGGATGTGTTCGGATTCAACGTATGTCCATCATCACACACTCCAACCAAACGTACTGTTCTGTCCATCATCGCGAGAATTTATGACCCGATCGGATTTCTCGCTCCAGTCATATTTTATGCTAAGCATATCATGCAAAGGATTTGGAAGGCAAATGTATCCTGGGACGACCCTCTACCACCAGATTTGGTCAATTGTTGGTCCGTGTTTGTCGACAGTCTCCCGGCACTATCAAATGTAAAGGTTCCTCGTTTCCTAGCCACGCAATTGCAGTCTCGCGTTCAGTTGTGCGGCTTCTGCGATGCGTCAGAAAAGGGTTACTCGGCAGTAGTGTACTTGCGTACAGTCACACACAATCACTCTGTCTCTATTTCGCTACTTGGATCCAAAACCAAAATGGCCCCTGTAAAGACTTCCACTGTGCCTAGACTCGAGTTATGTGCCGCTGTCCTACTTGCTCGGTGGCTGTACCGCCTTCTGACGATATTACAGGATAAACTGAACGTAGACTCTACCTTTGCTTGGTCTGATTCACAGATAGTTTTGTCCTGGTTAGTCAAACCTCACTCTATGTTCAAAGTGTTTGTCTCCAATCGTGTGCATCGAATACATACACTTCTTCCACATTGCCAATGGGGATATGTTCGCTCTGCCATCAATCCTGCGGATTGCGCCTCCAGGGGAATGCTACCTTCCGAGTTGATTAGCCATTCGTTGTATTGGTGTGGCCCGAAATTTTTATATGCTAATGTCGATACTTGGGACACGTCTCCAACTCCCATCCCGGTGGAACAATTACCTGATACTAAGATCGTATCCCTTACCGTAACTGTCAGTGAACCATCTGAATGGATTTGTCGATTTTCCTCGTATGACCGCATGCTTCGTGTCATATCGTGGGTACGACGTTTCATTTTTCGCTGTAAGCGTAAGGAGTACCCACTCGCCTTCTTGCAGGCATCTGAGCTTCAGGAGTCACTTGTCAGTATTGTCCGAGTATCTCAGCGTCTATTGTTGTCTGGATTGTTCATCACCCTGGAATCGGACCGAACTCCATCACGCTCATACGCTCGTCTCCGCCCATTCATTGACTCCAACGGACTGATCCGCATCGGCGGGAGACTACATCACGCCGATCTACCTACTCTTCAGAAGCAGCCCATGCTGTTACCCAAGACGTCACACTTAGCCAAGCTGATCGTCCGACACTGGCATTTAGTTACGTGTCATTCTGGACCCAGGGTTATAACCGCTTTGATAACCCGTAACTTTTGGATAATGTCAGTTCGTGTTGTCATTCGTCAGACTATTGGGTCATGCACCACCTGTGTTCGAGCTATCGCTCAATCTCCGCAACCTCTGATGGCAGATTTGCCTGCAGCCCGCGTTCAAGTATGTCAGCCTTTCTCCAAAGTCGGAATCGACTATGCCGGCCCCCTTCCGATGAGAGAATGCCGCCTACGGAAGCCTAGAGAGTACAAGGTCTATATAGCTGTTTTTGTTTGCATGGCTGTCAAAGCCGTTCATCTGGAGCTCGTTCTTGAGCTATCTACTGACGCATTTTTAGCGGCGTTCGATAGGTTTGTAGCTCGTCGTGGTCTGCCTCAAGAAATCTTTTCCGACTGCGGTACCAACTTTGTTGGCGCGTCAAAACGGCTATCCATACTGGTCAATCATCCAGAAAATCGTGACCGGTTGACAGCTCGCGCTCCCTGTTCTTGGAACTTTAACCCCCCAGCGGCACCACATTTTGGAGGTCTCTGGGAAGCCGCCGTACGTTCAACCAAAACTCTGTTGTCCAGGGTAATGGGGTGTCACCATCCAACCTTGGAGGAACTATCAACCGTGCTCTGTCGAATCGAAGCTGTCCTCAACTCACGACCGCTCACGCCAATGTCTTCGTCCCCATTGGACTTGGACTATTTGACACCAGGTCATTTTTTGATTGGCCGGCCGTTGCTGTCTGTGCCAGATCTGCCGATGCCAGAGACTTCTAGCAAATCGGTTCCTCGTTGGAAGCTTCTCCACCAATGCCATCAGGCGTTCTGGCGTCGGTGGTCCGCCGAATATTTATGCTCTCTGCAAGTGCGCAACAAATGGACTAAGAGCAGCCCAAATCTTAAGATAGGCGATATGGTCGTAGTAAAAGACAAACAGCTGGCTCCCACCCACTGGCGCTTAGGACGCATACTAAGTGTCAACCCAGGCGTTGACGGCGTGGTTCGTGTAGTCCGATTGTTAACTTCACAAGGGGAGTTAACTAGACCTGTGGTTAAGTTGGTACTGTTACCTACAGAATAGCCCCATTAGTCAGCTCCACCAGTACCCTCATAGTAGGCCCTTACACTGACCCAATCCAGTCACTATTAAAAAAAAAAAAAAAAAAAAACCTATATTTTCTTATTTTGGTGTCAATGACACGACGTACCGCTTGTTACATTGATCAATTTTGTATAAGTTTTGTATATTGATTATTGTTTTTTGTTCGTTACTCTTTCGAAACGTTATAAACTATTTAAAATTGATGTTACCGTTTAATATTTATTTTGTTTATTACTGTGTATTATTATTTTTGTTATTATGTATTATTATTCTACTGTGTATTTTTTTATAGTTATCCTCCTCTTACAGGTATATTTGTCATTTTCTTATTGTAAAATTCGCACCTTCTAATGTCTGCACTAATTACTTCGCCATCTCAAGATAACCATTTCCACTGATCAACGGCGGTAGTCTTCAGTACGTTGGGAAGCTGCTCTTCCCAACGGGGGGGGAGGATGTTTACGCAAGTCGTCGCAAAATCGTGCCGCTATCAGTGTTGGCGACTCTACCTGTAGGCCGCCGACTAATCTTGCGTATTCCCCTTCCCACCCGACGTGGTATCGACCTGGCTGGCTATTTTGCATGTTGTGCCGGCGCGCCGGTGTGTCTACAACCAGTTGCCCCGTCTCTCTTGTCATCGGACGTCGCTGCCTTTGACGTCCGTGGGGACCTTGTGGGTATTGACCGGTGTTCCGACGTCCGACCGTTATATTGTGCTGGTCTACCTTTAAATTACGCGTCGTATTATACTCGTCTCGTGTGTTATAATCGTCAGTCGCCATCAAACGGTGCACATCGAGTACTGTTGTGTCACGTGCGTCGTACGTACGTACTCACATTGTTGTGGCGTACACGTTACATAAGATCGCGAAACTCAGCCGCCGCCGATCTAATTGAGTGCTAGGTGCAGTGCGCTATACAGTGAGCCGTCGCCGCCGCCACCGCACGCCGCCCATCCCATCTTCAATCGAAGGTCGTGGCAACACAGCCGCCGTCGGTCTATCTTTATACCGGTATATGGGTCAACGCCGTCGCCCGTCGTCCACCACCTACTCCGACCATCTCTACCGCTCGACAACACCAGCGCCGCCTCCACCGTAGTATAGATAAGTCATATCATTGTTGTTATATATTATTATATTATTTTACTGTTTGTATTTGGTAGCTGGACTTAGAGACGTCTAGTCAGCTACGTTTGTAATGTCAGCCGTTCTTAGGCCTGTCACATAATATAAACATTACATTTAAATTTGGTGTACCCCTTTATTACGTTGGTATAATAATATCAATTGTCATACGCTACATTAAGAGTCCTGACAATGCGAGTACGTCGTGTCAACTGCGATACGAAAGAACACGACGTGCGTTAACAATCTCTGTGGATTAAAAATAACATAGATTCTACTTAAAAGACGTTGATGTTTTAATTTAATATTAATTGTAATAATAATATTGCTTTCGCCCTAGCGGCCTGACATACAGCTTCATATCATACATGTTTTATAAATAATTAAAACATCATAACATTTGATACTCGATAATAATAGATTGCCAGTTTCACTTTTATTGGACGTGGATAAAAAAATATTTTGTTCTTCTATACAAATGCGTATTATCAATAATTTGTTTAAGATTTTTAGATATTTAATTGCTATATACGTCTTATTTAACAGGTGTATAGAAAACATAGTTATAGTAGCATTATAACCTGTGTGGCAACACTGCTACAGGCAGAAGTATAAAATATAGGTTTACATAATGATGGACAAAAATAAGAAGAATTATTTTGGTTGACACGATCTTATAGTTAAATTAACTAAAATTTTTTTATTGGGGTAGTTGCTCTGATTTACAGTAGGTATTTAGTGTCATCATTAAATAGATGTAGGTAATGAATATATTACATTATTAAATTATTGTATACAAAATATGGTTCTGACCGGAGACCGTCTGTCAGTCTATTTTTCTAAGGATATTTTACTATATGTTTAGGTATATTTATATTTGTAGTTAGACCATATTTATTATACTGTACGTTGAAATAATTGTTGTCCAATTCAAATCACATATATTATATTATAATGAATATAATAATAATTAAAATGGTACTTACATTATTAATATTATTATATTAACATATTGCAATTTACAAGTCAATACCGACTACCTACCATAGAGTAGTGCGATTAGACTCATGGTATTAGTTATTAGTAATTACCATATGGTAAATTTTTTGTTTTGATCTCCCAAACTCCAAAGTACCAACAACCAAATAGATCAATTTTCAACCAGAAATAACTTTAAAAATGTATGAAGATCGAAGCATGTTGTGCTACTAATGATGACGTAAAATCAAAAAAAAAAAAATCAAAACAAAACATATTGTGATAACAATATATTTATTTCCCCTCTCAAAACCTAAAATGATGTGTCCTAGTTATGTGTATATTTATTTTATTTATACGATGTAGTCGTCTGTATTAGACGTTGGTAAATATCAACTCGATAGTTGTTACTATGTGTTAGTTCTATAGATCAAAAATATCTGTTGTTCAGTATGAATATTATTCATTTATACGAAAAAAAAAATGAGTCAGTCGTATAATATTATAATCTATATTTGTTATTTTGTGATGTTAAAAAGTTAGGTAAGTATCTAACTAAAAACTTCTCCACGAACAGTTTTGTACAAAGGAAAATATAAAGTTTTGCCATTGACCTTTAACACGGAGTTTGCTATGTTTTCACTATCGCAGCAAACAATTGATTATAGTTTGGCCTTCACAGTGAAAGTCTTTTTAAAATAATTTATTTTTCTCATCAAATGACTATATTTATTTAAATGTAGGTACTGTATACTATTTATTGCTGGTACGATTGCTCCAATATCCAGTCGTGTGCTAACAGTGTGTAAACGGAATAATGATTGGGTGGTCAATGGGTATAGTACGGTGTCTTAATAATATTTTTGCATTCAAACCGTCGATTCGGTTATTTTTCAAACATGGGAATTTTTTTGAAACAGAAGCAAAAAAAAAGTCCAGATAATATTGTGTATTATATAATAGGTATAATATTTTTCCAAATAGAGTGTCACACTACTGTTTGTAGTGATAAAAAAAAATTGGTTTCTAGACAATGCTACGACGATATCTCTGAATATAATAATATATACTGTAGCGTGTATAGAATGAATCGATCACGAGAAATGTAGAAAAAAACCCGTCCCTCGTGTACAACATGTATAAAAAGTAAACGAAACTGTCGCAAGAAGAAAAAAATAGAGAACAAATATCATCCGCCCGCCCGTGTACTATATTATTATTGCGTTTAATTTGTTCGAATTAAGCGTTTTTTTTTCTTTTCTTTTTTTTTACGAACCCTCCGGAATACTCGCATATGGAAATGATATAGGCATACGTGATGTTATTGGGTACATTATGACTTATGAAATCCGCGCACTGCGGAAAATCCCGCGGAAAACCACTCTCCGCAGAGTAGGGGACTTTCTACACGGGCGGCGCCGTTTCAACGGTTTTTCCACGCATGCAGAAAACACCACCGCCGCAGTCACCTCATTTTAATTTGGATCCGACTTTTTCGTATTATTGACGAGTACATTAATGAGAATGTACATCGGGAGATTTATGCGCACGTCATACGCGCACCATGATGTATATAAAATATATAATATACCTGTATTATATTAGCGCGTTTTCCGCGGTGCATGTACATACAAACACACTTTACACACACACACACACACACACACACACACACACACACACACATTATACATTCGCGATTGTGGCCGGGGGGATGGGGGTGAAGTCGTAGTCGAGGGGGTGTCGATGACGGTCGGCGGCGGGCGGCGCGTGTGTTTTAGAACAAAAAGTGCCCCCTGCGCCGTACATCTATATATAAATATATATTATATATGTATATTATATGGGACTGGTGCTTGCGGAAGGGATGTGTAATACTTGTGTTGTAAACACACAGGCGCGCACGTACAAAAGAACTCGGAGAAAGTGGAGGAGAAAGGCTCGAACTCGTTCGTATATATGCATATTATCATATATATATATAAATTGTATATGCGTGTATAGATATACGTAGTGATTATGACGATGAGGGGAGGGAGTGATGTTGAGGAGGGTGCGCTTATGCAAGGGGTGGGCGACGTTTGTGCCACCGGGAGAGGGTACAAATACCTAGTCGCGGGTGCGAGTGCAAGTGTGTGTGATGTGCGCGCGTGTACACGCGAATCTCGTCGTGCTCTTAAAATTTACCATCCCTCCCACACGCACCCACACCGCTATAGCAGCACACACACGCACGGAAGTGCTGTACGCGGGCGCCAAACGAATGCGAGATGATCGGGGGTAGCGGCTTGGATGGGGAAGGGGTAGTGAATCATTAAAAATATGCGTATAAAGTATAAAAAAAAAATATAAATATAAAAGTAAAAACCGTAGGCGTAGTGAGGAATAATGTATCGATCGGGTTTGTTTTTTTTTAATATATATATATATTTTTTTCAGAGAGGCGACCAATGGGGTGATGCCGAAAGAGGCTGCTGAACTATGAGCGCCCTCTCTGCCCACCCTAAAAAACACAGCACCCTACCCCCTCTACCCATTATCCTCCATCACCACCACTACTACTACTATATTTACTACTATACTACTACTACTATTGCTACTACTGCTACTACTACTACACCTGACTATACACACTCCACCGTCATCGTTGCCGTCGTCGTCGTCATCGTCGCCGCCACCACCAAGGTTTTAATTGCGAACGGAACGGTCGCGGGGGTGAACAGGAATTGGTGGGGGTAAAAATACGCGCAGCCTCGCGCAATACGAGCGGGAGATTTCACCTCTCTCATCCATTCTCCGCCACCACCCGTGACCCATCTATCGTCTCTATATACGCGCATAACGCGCGCGTGTGCTTCCACCCCTTTTTTACAT